TCCCAACTACAACTCCAAATCCACTTGGATAAAGGCATTCCAAGCTTTGAAAATTTCTTTACCAATGGTCTTCTTAGTAAGTCTCAGCAAACTGAACGGCAAATATCTGTCAGGAACTGGAAATAATTGGAAACATCAATGACTCCATCCATTTGAAGATACATATTTTATCTTTAAATTTTTTTTTTACCACAATCTGTTGAACAAGAATTTCCACAATTTTATAAACACTACAAGGAACCCATTTTTCTGAATAGGGAATAGATATCACTAAAGGATGAACTTGACAGTGAACTTGTGGACAGCACCAGGTATTGGAACCTATTCTAAAGTCTTCTATGACTTCCCTGCTGATTTGTATATGGTTTCTAAGCCAAGTTTAATATCTGTGGGAAAGAGTGATCTTATTTATATTTTTATCAATATCCTCTGCTCATCTCCTAAAACTATTAATAATCAATCTGATTAGCCCTAGCTGGTTTGGCTCAATGGATAGAACATGGGCTGGGGACTGAAGGGACCCAGGTTTGATTCCAGCCAAGGGCACATACCTGAGTTGTGGGCTCCATCCCCAGTACAGAGCGTGCAAGAGGCAGCCAATTAATGATTTTCTCTCATCATTGATGTTTCCATCTCTCTCTCCCTCTCCCATTTTCTCTAAAGTCAATAAAATATATTAAAAATAATCAATCTAATGAAACAATAAGAATGTAGAAATGTGTCAGAAGTTAAAGAAATCAAGGAAGTAAAGGAAAATGCCTCCAGCAATTTTGGTTGGAGAAGTTTATGTTCAATGTAGAGATATTGGTCCTGAGAAGGTAGCTAGAGAAAAGAGGGACTGAGCATTCCCCCCCCCCCCCCCTTAATAAATTATTTGGAATTTTAACATATTTTAAAATATAAAATAACTTCAGTTATTGTAATAAATGTTTTTGTGTGAAAGCTTCATTGGCTACGTTTAAAACACCCTCCCTCTTTCCTTGTGTTGATTATAGGAAGTGAGGTCTAATGTGTGCATACCAAGTATAAGGCACAGACACCTCCATTCCCCTCACTCACAGCAGACAATAGCTAATCAATCACGTCATGCTTTGCCACTAAAGAGCTAGAATTTGGGCGGCTTCAGGGATCCATTGAGCATCAGCTGGTGCTGGTATACAGGTTGAACCATTTTCTCTTGTTGGTGGCAGAGAAAAACCGAGGTCAGCATGTCCATCCTCCCCATGAACTAGCTAAGAAATCTTGGGAAAGGCCTTTCACCTGTTCTGCTGCCCTCACAGGACCGTTCCACGTTCAAGGACTCAATTCCTCCGAGCACATTTGGTAAACCATGCAGTTGCAGTCACACACTTGAAGAAATGGGCTTCATTTGCTGTAGGGTGCATGCCGCCATCCTTCTAGTCCTTTTCCTCCCTGGCTCTCCCCGTACATATTGAGTTGATCTATTTTATAAGTGTGGGTTGCTTTTATATTTCTTGGCTTTATTGAAACCGTGAACACCTGCACCCCTTTTGACGGTGATGTCTGATGCTATGTAGAAGACAATGCTGCTGGGGGAAGAGAGAGCGCCCAGCCTCACACCTGGCTTGTCATTTCGATGTCTGGCAGCCCTTTCCGCTCCGCTGGAAGCTGTGTGATTAATAACCCCTCTTCCTAATTATGCGGATAACTCCTCTTCCTCTGGCTGTAGACAAGAAATACCTTATGTATGTGCGATGCAAATTGTGGGCTTTGTGAATGCTAATTTCAGAATCAGCTAGGCATTGATTGGCAGAAAACTCAACCCCTGTGTGACAAGCGTGCCAGGGGTCAAGAGCCTGTGAAAGAAAGGCTTAGCGAAGGTGGAGAAAAGGCACTGGAGAGACTTGGAGTTAATCAAGAGCAATCGCTGGAGGAGCAGCGTTCTATGAAAGCAGATCTAAGCCAGCTATCCTGGAAGAGACAGCAGGTTCAAAGGCTGGTGTGAAAACAATGAGAAGAGTGAGAGTTTAGCTGACTTTACAAAAAAGCATGCTGGAACGCAGGATCACGCCACACAAACGCGCAAACTGTATTTTCTGTCTATCACATCCTTGAACAGTGCGCCTGGTTTGAAGCCTTCGGAACCTCACCCCACTTTTGACTGTGACACCCTCAGAGTCAGGGATCCTGTCATTTGTTTTTCTGGGTACCGGAAGAGGCTGAACACTCAGACTGTGTTCTCTGGACTGGCCTGAACGGTAGGTTGTCAGGGGGATGATTTAGGTAGCACAAATCATTTCATTTCTTAATCAGAACAGCAGAGTGATCAGAAGGAATATAGGAAACTGTAGCTGGAATCCATTAACTAGGCCGAGCCAATTGTTCAAGATAAGCTCCATTTTGATTAGCATTGTAAAACGAATGACGATCTGCTAAGTTTTCTGCACAGCAGACACTTTCAGCCCAAGGCTGACTAGACAAAAGCAAGCCCAAAGACAGAAAGGTTGTTGAAGCATCTCCAAGCACTTGGCTTGGGTACACTGTTACTAAATTGCTCTCAGGTGACCCACAGCTGGCATTGCAAAAGAAGATGCCCCTGAGACAGAAGAAGAGGGGGGAAGGAGAGAGGTGAAAATGACACATCCTGGAATGGCTTGTTCAAATGATGTCTCCACTCTGTTGGGGGCAACGTAGACAGAATTCGGAGCCAGTAGCTTGAACTATGAGTTATATCTGCTCTTAGGGACACTCCATCCATCGTTTTTGTACTGTAGCCACTCTGCCTGCACAGATGGTTTTTACTTATGGTAAAAATACTTTTTCTTGGCGCAGTATGTCAACCTCAACATATGCTCCCATGTCCAAGTGTATTTTTTAGAAAATTACACGTCTGCCAAAATTTTACGTGGGGTTTAATAAATCTGTGAACTATACACACACGCATTATTTCAACTAACTCTCTAAAATATAACTATCCATGCATTAAACTCTGTCTTTATAGCATCCTTGACACATACATGGAAGCTTTCCAAAATGCTTGGGTACAGAACAAAAGGGACTTCCAGCTGAAGGAATATTTTATGTACAACCTCTCTCCAACACGTTTATGAAGGTGTTTTATCTGTCTCCTGAAACCAGAAACATCTTACTTATCCCATGTGAAAATGAATACTTTATTTGAATGCGTTTTAAGTAACGAAATGACTACTTTCATCCCATCCAAGCTAACTAATCTTTATTTCAAGATGATCAAAGTGAACGGTGTTAGGGTTCAAACATATTCCAGAAAGGTTTGTTTATTAAGAAGTGCCTCAGTTTGGACTTTTCCAGGGAATTCAAACATATTAGCTAAGAACATAATTCAAAATGTGGACATGATTTATACTCAGTTATACTTAAATAAGTATTTCTAGTTCTCCCTTCTTCCTGGCCATTTTGTGACTGGGTGGGACTGTGAACAATGAGCCTCTTCTCCCAAAGAGGAGCCTTTTCTGGCTCCAGATCTAGCTTGCTCTCTGGCATGGCAACCTATGATGACGCATGGCGGCTGCTCCACCGCCTCCTTTCCTTAGTGACAGTTATGGTAGAGCCTCCTGCTGACTCAGAAGAATAAACTTGTGGTTTTTAGTCATAAGAGATTTGGAAAGTGCTTATTAGCAAAGCATACTTAGCCTATTCAAGTATATAGCCCTAACTGGTTTGGCTCAGTGGATAGAGCATCGGCCTGAGGACTGAAGGGTCCCAGGTTTGATTCTGGTCAAAGATATGTACTTTGGTTGCGGGCACATCCCCAGTAGGAAGTGAGCAGGAGGCAGCTGATGGATGTTTCTCTCTCATCAATGTTTCTAGCTCTCTCTATCCCTCTCCCTTCCTCTCTGTAAAAAATAAATAATGATATATTAAAAAATGAAATTAATATATAATAACACATATACAAATAAAAATATATGTGTATTTTGTATATATGTATATGCCTCATTTTAAAAATCTATTAAGTGAATATACTAGTTATATAATTTGATTAGTTATATATATGCATGTATGTATTATCTATCTTTCTATATACACACATCTATATGTTAGCTGTATAAATGAAAATGCACATGCTCACATGGCTTTTTTAAATTCCAAAAGAATTTTATGTAAACTAATTGATACCATTCTACCCAGAACTCTGTCTTGTTAAGAACTGTGAGATAATTATCATTCGTGAAATCCGAGAAAAATATGTGGATCAGCACCTATAGATATGTAATAAATAAATGGAGACATGTATAATACAGTTGACTTAAACTTTATAAACCCTGCAAATTATTCATTTAGCCTTAGCAAAAGTTTTTCCTGAGAACAGTGCATGTTATTTATCTTATTTATCTCTTTGTCATAATGATACAATATAAAATAATATGCTTTAAGTACCATAGGTATGTGTTATGCAAGTATGTTCTACAAATACACAATAGAAAGGACTTAGGAGAGTTCTTTACCAGTATAATAATGTAAAAAGGGGGGCCTGATTGACTGAGAACTAGAATTCAATTTTAAAAAAGCTGAATTGTTTTGAAAGTGGGGGAGGGATGAAAGGTGATGGATGGTGTTTGGGGGAAATCTATGAAGAAGATAGGGCAAATGGAGAAGACGTTTTGGGACTAACAGTACACAGAGAAAGAAGCCCAGGCTGTGAGGAAGAACACCTAAAATCTTATAAATTTGGGTATATAGCATTTTCATAGTGAAAACTCTCTGATCTTCCCTTCAGAATCTTTGGAACAGTCTACCAAAAGCCAAATAAACCTAAACTGGCTGGATTTCTTATGTGAAATGCTCAAGATGCCACATCTATTTACTGCTGAAAAGAATCAGCATACTCAGTCCAGGGCAAGGCTTAACCTCAAAATCCCTATTAAAAGTGGCATTAATTGGGAAAAAGCAAATAGCCAAGTGTTTCCTGCATAGTCCATTTGTCGTGCACAGAGATCGCATAGAAATAAAACAAATTCCGGAAGCACTAAAAAGAGTGGTTGTCTGTCAACACTTACTGCGAGGACAATCTGGAGGGAACTATGAGCCACTTCTATGTACTGGTACTCCAGAAAACACCCTGAGACCGTGATGTAGCGATGGTCTTCTGGGGCCCAGTCTGGGGCAGGTGTCACTGAGGTCACCGTACATCCTGGTCCATTCTCCATCCACCAAGATCGGTGCATTGAAATATTAAAAGTCAGGATAAGGTCTGTTTCCTGCAAGAAGGCAATTTATAAGGATGAGAATTACTTCATAAGTGTTAGCTAGCTTATTTGGACTGACTTGTTCTGAGTTTCCCATTTGGAAATGTGGGTTTTTTCCCTATCCTTAATGTATTTTGTAGGTAGAAAAAAATCATCTAAAGTAAAACTATCAGTACTCCCTGAAAATGATGTACCTATGAATTCTACTTATGAAAGTTAACCTGGCTATGCTACAAAAAATTATTAAAATGATCAGTGACCTACATTAATTTTAAAACTGAAGAGTCCTTACCTCTTACAACTTGTATTACAAAGGTTGTAATTTTAACTCTTTTATTAAGTGAAGATCATCTTCTTTTGTTCACTTTTTTAAAGATCATCTTATTTTAAATCTAGTTTCCTCTCCCTCAGAATATTCACCTTTTGCCCAATTTAAATATTAAAGTTGTACTTTAATTTAGCTAAAGTTAATATAACGTCACCAATACTAACATTTGTAAGACCTTTACTTAATAAAACATAATACTACTCCCCCCCCCCACCCGTGTCCATTCCTACTATTTTAGCAAATTTTCTCAGGGTCTTTTCAATCTTGTCTACTTAAACTATAAAATTAGCCATAACATTTCTTAAGAAATATAATTAGCAAACTCTTGCAAGGCGGAGAAAATAAGTCAACAATTCATTAGACAAAGTTCAGCATGTACATGTTTAGCTATAAATGCAATAAAAGACATAGATTTTGTTCTTAGAAAGCTTATAATCACATATACAAAATGAACTATCAATAGCACATGGACCAATGTCTTCTAGGAAGAAAATGGGGAACAGGAATGCATCAAATACAATTTACTACTCAACAAGTCAAAAAATTCATAATAAAATGAACAGTGTTAGAGTTCAAACATATTCTAGAAAGGTTTGTTTATTAAGAAGTGTACAAAAAGTAAATGCAAATCTTCAACTATCAATCGTTAATTAGATGATATAATCTTATATTCTCATTTACTTCTTGAAGACGTTTAAACAAAAGTCTGCGTGTATGTGCATGTTGTGAACCCTGAGGACTAAGAAGGGCTCCTAGTGGCTACCTGGGCTCAAATAAAAACAAAAACATAGAGCAGAACCTAGCAGCCATTTCTGTTCCTCAGGTGAACCACACTTCACAGAGCAGCTCTGCATCTCTGCACCACTAGACTGCCTTCCTTTGGGCCAACAAACTGCCGGCCTGTACTGTGTTTCTGTCCCTGGAACCAGCCCTTATAAAGTAGCTACTGTGGTCCTATTGTAACCAATAGGACTGAGGCTTTCCCCATCCAATCAGAGCTGTGCAGCTCTGACCAATCAGGGATCAGGAGCAGGGATTTCTGTCTATATAACCCAGTTCTCCTCTAAGAAGGAGAGCATACTTTCTATGGGACACTGAAGATTGTGTTTCCTGGCTGGACCACTGAAGAGCTCACCCACAGCAGTGATGGTTCACAGCCACTCTAACTAACTAGAGTGAGCTGTTAGCACTACATAAAGCTTCCTTCTTCACCACATCCCAAACTGGGGATTCCTGTTGGTATTAAATTGGCACCAATGACTATCAGTTAACAAGGTGTATCTTATTTTAACCACAAAATAGAAATTCTTGGTTGTAAAACAGACAATAAAAAGATCTCCTGGATGTCCACTATTAAATTCAATAGAAATTCCTGAGTGTGATCTGCTCCATGTGTAACCAATACATTATTTAATTCCCACATATTTATAATTTTGATTTCAAAATAGTAAGGGCTTTTGAGACAATTCACTAATCTCAACAGTACAAAACAAGGCATAAAATCACAAATCAAATCTTGTATATTCTGGGTATATTTATATTGGAAAACACACCAAATGGGCTCAGAAATGTAAGATTCAAAAACTTTCATATATTAATAAAACTTCCATAATTATTTGTTCAGATTAGTAAGGTGACAAAAAATTGTCGTGTCAATATATTTATTCATCTCTTTTAGTAAGCCTTCAAAAGTTCAGATTAAAGGACCCCATTTCTGGTCATGTCATTTTTCAAAATAACAGGGTCTGATGTGTCGCATGAAAGTTGTTATTAGCACTAAAATGTGGTTTCTGAAGAGGGCTATATGTATTCAGGTCAACACAAGAAGCCTAATTGCTCAACAAATAATATGCATTTGATAAAAAAAAATTTGACAAGTTAATGAGAAAATCATACTAATAACACCTCAGAATTTCAATAAAAAGTTAAAATTTACGTTCACAGGTTATGGCATTTGAGGAAGAGCACGCATACATATATCTGTTCTGACAGTAAGCAGTGGAGGCTGTACCGCAGAGTTTAGAAGGTGGAGGGTGAGAGTGAGAAGTTTTGCATTGCCAGTTTTAAAAATCTGAAATATTTTCTTAGATTTTGGGTGTGGCCTACTACTTAGTTATTCTTTTGGAATAATACTATTGAAAATTGATACAGTCCCATTTTTAGGCTGCTTAGTTACTATCTAAAAGGATAGAAATTGCACTTCTATGTAAATGGCAATTAGGTTTTAGTCATCATCATAGTTACTAACAAATATGAATTATTCATATGCCATATGCAAAACACTCTACCAGGTCATAACGATGTGAACAGATAGAAAACGCTATCACTAATATCACAGGCTTAGTGTCTGTCTGGAGGACAAGATTCAAAGATAAAATGTAACAGTATGAGAAAGAGTTGGTTAAATACGTAATGAGGTATGGCAATCTGTGCACAAGTCCTGGGAGGGCATGGTGCCCGTGAATGCAGGTGACACAGCCCCTGGAAATAGAAACTCTAGCTGGGGCCAAAAAAAGGGCCAGGCTTGTATAGGCTATCAGCCTGGGGAGGGGAAACATTTAAGTAGAATGGACCAAATAAAAAACAAATTGTAGAGCTAAGACCCCTTATATAATACTAGATGCCTGATGCACAAAGATTCATGCAGAATGGGCCTTCCTTACCCTGGCTGCCAGCACAGTCTTTGCTCTGGCCTGGAGCTGCCTTCCTGCCTTCCCATGCTTCCCAGAGGCCCTGAGCAGCTGGGGTGGTGCAAAATGCCTGTGTCATCACCCTGGCGATGATGCAAATTGTCCCACCCTGTCCCCTGGGTGCCAGTGTGTGCAAATTAACCCACCAGCTTTGGTGGGTTACTTTGCATACTCACTCCTGATTGGCTGGTGGGTGTCACGGAGGGACGGTCAATTTTGCATCTTTCTCTTTTATTAATGTAGATTTATGGACCTATAAATAGCCTTTCTTTTATGAGACGAGAGTTTGTAAGAAAGATGAGTATAAAATAGCATTGGAACAATAAGCTGGGGTTAGACTGGGAGAGACCTAAATGTTAAATCAAACACCTATCTTATTGAAGGATGTTTGATCAGTGACAGGATACAGGCACGTCAACCAGGAAACAAGAGAAATTACAATAGACATAATCAAGTCTCCTGTAGTATGGCAGCGGACAGTGCAGGAAACTTGAGGGGTCCAGGGCAGATGCTGAATTAAACAACAGTCATTATGGAAGTGATGACACAAAAGCTGTAAGAGCCGAAGGCTTGACCTCTGTCACCCAGACTCTTCTGCTGAGTTCTATAATGGTCCAGGGTGGCTCAGATGAGGACCAATGCTTTCAACCTTCTCAGAATAGGAATGGGAACAAGTGAGCATTCACCTTACCTTAAAACATACATCTGTTGATGACACTAGAGGAATGCCAAGAAAACACATTTAATCGAAAGAACCAACTTTTACCAACAAAAATAGTCCAGGAGGTTTAAATACTTACATTAAAAAAAAAAGCTATATTATATGGTTATCAGGACTGAGAATTAATAGTTAGGAAATTCTCATATTGAATGATGTTCTGTAATCAGCTAAGGAGGCAGGAGTTTGGAGAGTGAGGAAGGCTGTATTTGACACCAAAAATCATTTTTTTCTGATAAACTCTTATTTATTTACAATCCATATACAATGGGCTAAAGTTTAAAGTATCACCAGAAAGCATTGTGTTATATCTCATTGCTAATATCTACATGTGGATAATAATTCATAGGAAACCCTGAAAAATTCTTAAAAAGCATCATCATTCATGGCTTATTTCTTGCTGGCGAACTTAATATTCTAATCCTAAATACACGCTGGATTTTTTTTTTCTATCAACACATTCATAGATCTATGCAAACCTGCTTAGACATATAAAAACCCCAATGCTAAATTTATCCTGGTATTGTATGAATCAGTGAAAACAAATCATATTGTTCAAGATGCCAGAAAGAAGGAGCTGAGAAAATATGGTTTTAAAAAGATAAGCAAAATCACAAGTACACTTTAACAGGTTGGATAAATGTTACCTGTATAGGAATGTAACCCAGTACATAAAGAAGTTCATATCTACCAGCTCTAAAATCCAAAGATGTGAGTCATGCTACTATATGATGAACTAATGAGAAGTAGATGGACCATAAAGTATACATTTGTGCCCTCCTTCCTTCTAGAATATTCAACTATGAGTAACTGAGATTTGGCTGATCATGGGTCATAAACTCAGTATGACACCATCACTAATATTGATTCCAGTGCCTTGTTTCTGTCATTAGTTATTCAAGAAAAGATTTAAGAAAATATTTCTGTGACCATGGTGAACATTACAACCATTGCTCTAAAATCAGATGAGAGAAGTCCGATGGTATATAGATTTATAAAAGCTAGAATTCTTAAGCCAAAATGTGTCTCTTTCCATTAGGTAGAAAGGTTCACTGAAAATTTAAAGTTCATTGACGCTATGTTTTCATTGTTTCTAGCCTGAAGTGGGTTTCTCTGGTCTGTGTTCCCTCAAAAGGCCAGTGTGTTACTTTTCTAAATCTTATACTGACCGACTTCTTAGTTGAGACAAATGTTCTATATTTTTGCTCAGTTGGTATGCGCTGTCTGCATCCAGAATATTGTTGCTGAAGGTCGCTTTCTTATGAAATTCTCCCCA